TCTTTCCCTTATTTTTTATAAATGTCAGTTTCTTTAGATATTCATATTTCATTTTCTTTACATTTTATTCGATAAAAAAATTCCTTATAGATTACAAGGTTTATTTACTTACATTATGTAGAAAATATTGTAATAAAACAAATGTCTTATCTGCTAATTTTTTATAACATCTCACCTCTATCTTGTTATATCATGTAGGCGTTACTAAAACTTAAAGAATCAATGCTAGAGTTTGTGTTTTTAAACATGTTTCCCTTGCAAAATGGCGATTACATATTGGCATGTTAGGAAGCAGTCAAGAGAAAAAAAATCAAAATAAGGGTCGATTCTTAGTTAGGAATTTCCGTCGAAAATTTCAGACGGATTTAAATATGTGGGAAATTCCGTCAAAAATTTCAGATGGATTTTTAAATCCGTGGGAAATTCCGTCAGAAATTTCAGACAGATTTAAATCCGTCAGAAATTTTGTCGGAAATTTCTGACGGATCTAAATCCGTAGGAAATTTTCGACGGATTTTTGTCCGTGAAAAATTATCCGTCAGAAATTTAACTTTTTCTTGTAGTGATCTTTAATACTCACTTTCTGCTTTCTTTATTATTAATCAAAAATTGTTTCTTTTCTAATTAATTGGTGGAGTTACTAAAATTTGTAATATTTAATAAATTTTGATCAATAAAAAAAAGTTAAAAAAGTGAATATTATTGACATTCTTCATATTTCCAAATAGCTATCCTCATTGTATAAGTGAATAATTTATTATTTAACATAAATAAAAATTTAAGGTTTTTTTTTTTTTTTTTTAAATTTTAATAAGTTAGGGGACCATCAATCCTCTATTCCACCTTCTCTTTGGCCGTCTCCTTAATTAAGGTGGCTCCCCTACCTTAGATCGTATTAGGGGCCATAAAATCTTGGAAGCAAGTGCAAATCCTCAATTTTTCTTAATGTATTCATTAACATTTTTTTTCCCATTCACAACACTTAACCACATGAATTTTCAATGATTTAACGGTTACACTTCCATTATACAACCATGCATCATGCTTTGGATTATGCGATCTCAAAAGGAATCTTAAATGAATTTAAAAAAACTACAATTATTTTTTCACGAATTTGTCTTAACCACACAGGCAATTTCATTTTGTGGTCCCTCCCTCGTATTCTTAGATGCCATGTTCTTGAGTAGATAGAAACTTTGAACTGTGGTTCATATGTACTCAAGGCTCACACCTTAACATTATTATTCCAACATTGCATACAAAAAACTGCCATAAAGACTGGCACGTGATGAAAAGGGGGACCATACGTACTTCATCTAAATTTTGTGCTTAGATTGCTATCTTCTTTTGCTGTGCTTCTGTTTTCACCTTAGGATGGGTTTTCTAATGTGCATTAGAGGACAATGGAACAAACATGGGGGGGGGGGGGGGGGAGGGCTCCGTCATCTTTGCGAGAGACAC